TGTCAGTCCTACTCATAGAGGAACCAGAGATGTTGATAATTCATTTTTGACATTTTGTTGATAGCTGAAGTTTATATTCGTGAGCCTACCGATGGACCATAAAAGGTGCAAGATCTGACATTGAAAATTTTTTGGCAGTGCAGAGTTCTCAACAGAGAACAGAGAATAAAAGGTTGCGAGGAATAGGAAGTTTGATCGGTAATACATTTGAAAAGTTTTTCATGGTTTGTGAAACAATCTGACGTTAGTATTTGTCAAGCAGACCAGTTTCTAGGCTTTATACAGCAGGAATTAAACTATGCTTTATATTAAGTTACTTAATACATTTTCTGTATTGACATTATATTATAATTATGTGTTATATCATATATGTATATATTATATAAACTCTGTATTGTATACTAACTTAAGATGATAACGTTTCATACCTCATGCATTGTATCATAGCACATCGTACGTGAACGTTTTGGTTTTCGATGTTGTATACCAGTGCATTTCTCCTCCAAATCAGGTGGAGGTACTTGTTCGAATCCAAATGGGACCTATAATGTGGGGTAGATTACGACATATAATTTATTAACTACTAATTTGTTAAGCTCAATGCTCATACTTCTGATGGCTCTGCCTTGGGACATTGTGTTTCGTCATAACAGTTGTCCGATGTCTTATCCTGTATGATCCATACCATGACGAGATTCGTACCCTCAACGAATGCAGCTTGCATTTTTCTGTGAAAAAAAAGAGAATATTTTCTGGTTCTATCATCAGTACGACTTGAAAGTGTTTATACAGTTCTTAGCAGCATGCCACACAAAATCAGAAATTCAGGCGGATTTCTACAGTAGCTAAAGTTGCGAAGTAAAATACTTCTAGTCTAACTTGTGCTTTTCACATCTTCTCTTCAAAAGCTGTAACTTTTAATGCTATTTATTTAAAACAATTCAATGCGAGGGAACTCATTAGAATATGTAATCAATAAATTGATTTACTAAGTTAGTTAGCTTGGTTCAAACTCGAACTTGTCGGAGTTTTATCGAGTTTGTGATAACAGTAATTATCGATGGTGACTCAGAATAAGAAAAAATGAGAAGTGCTGTTGTTTGACATTTTTAACTCTCAAGATCAATAG